GTCAGGATCCAGGCCGTGTTGTCTACAAAAAAAAAAGACAAACTGAATGAACAGAACTCTGATTTAAGGTCAGCTCTGAGACCTGGATCTGGATCTGGATCTGGAGGTGGTACCTTTGTTATCACGGACAGAGAAGTTGGCCTTCCCAGCAGCCTCCTGTGCCAGGCTGAAGAAGAACCGATGTCCTCCCAGCGGCTCGTCGGGGTCTGTGGCGCTGATGGTTTGGATCCTCTGGGAAGAGAACCGCAGCACTGATGAGCAACCACTAGAACTCCAGGTAAATGACATGGACTTCCTGATTCTCTGAGGCCCAGCCTCGTCAAACTCACGTGATTGGCCTTCGTGTTCTCGCACACAAACGTCTCGTAGTCGGTGGCGAAGGTTGGAGCGTTGTCGTTGACGTCTAGAACCTTGATGTAAACAGGAACACGGCTGATCTGCTGAGGGTTGTCTGTCAAAAACAGCTAACGGTTAGCCAAAACTGCAATGATGTCAGCTAAAAGTTTCAAAGTTCAACATGTTACGGTCACCGACTGGTTGGTGGAAGAAGATAACTGAAAGTTAGCATCTCCTTTGTTGGAAGATAAAGGTTAGCTGCAGCTCTAAACCTTAGCATCTGTGTCTAACCACAGTCTGTTTCCTGTCGTAGGTTGTCGGTTTGACTCTTCACTCACTGAACTCCGTGGCGGTGACGCTGATGTTGTGCCAGGAGTTCTCCTCTCGGTCCAGGTCTTTGAGGATGAACAAGGAGCCGTTTCCTGCGTGGATGTTAAAGACGCGGTCCATGTCGGTACGACGGTCGATGGAGTATCTGCACACACACACACAGAGTTTTGGGTGTTAGTGTGGTTGAAGACGAGCTGGGAAAGTTTCAGGTACGTTTTTTTGGCGTTGATTTAAATATTTTTAGGCTAACTTTTAGCTTCGTTCTCATCTTCAGTTCTTCACCAATGTATTACATGTTTTTCTTGTTTTTACTCCGGAGGAGTTTCTTTATCTATTGTTGCTAAATTACTAATGTTAAGCTAACTGTGCTGTAGCGTTGTTAGCTAACTTTAAATGTTCTTTTCCTGTTTGACATCAGAAAGTTTAGGGAACGTTTAATGTGTTTTTTTTTTTTAAACTTTTCAGTCATATTTCTGCTGAGGTCTGAACCCGACCTCTGACTGTTCCTCCATCAGTTCTTTAGCTTTTTTTTTTACAATAACATGGTCTGTTGTTTTTGTTTAAATTATAGCCTTTTTAGGGCTAATGCATTTTCAGTCTATATTTAGCGCAGCGCTAACAGGTTAGCCAGCAGTGAAGTGTTTTTTTTTCTGC